GATCTGCATGTATAACAAACATCTTCTATTAACGAAACTTTTCATAATATAAATATGAAGATCCAGCCAAACCGAAATTTTTCGGTTTGACTTTTTATAAACCGAAACCAAACCAAACCGAAACCAAACCGAAATTTTTCGGTTTGAACCGAACCGTTCGGAGCTTTAAATGCAGCTGGAATTAAATTGTCCAAAAGATCTATCATTGTTTGGTATTCCATATCTTTACATACTTGACCAAATTTTTTATATATTTCTGAAGAGATTTCAATCCAGGCAGATCTAAGAAGTTCAAGAAGGTGATTTATCCTCCAGGGCTTTGGTTTTGCTGCTAATATTTTATTAATTCCAAAGACTGATTTATACATTACTTCAAAAAAATCCCAGTGTATACGCACCACACTTTCTCTCATGTTCAATGAAACATGTAATGGACCAAGGATTGGAACAAAATTATTGATTATTTGAGGTATTTGTTGAAAATTATTATTTTGCAGATTTTGATGTTTATGAAGAAGGGTTATTGCTTTACGTATAAACAATTGACCTGGGAAATCTGCAATAATTGGTATAATATTGCTTTGTAGGTAATTATTTAAAGAAGGAATTTCAGTTATCATTTTAAGAGCATTTAAATAGTCATCCAAACTTTTTAAATTTAATTCTTTAATATTAACTAAATGACAGTCTATCATAGATCTATCATTACAAAGACTTTCTATAGCATAATTATACGAATGAATCATCAAGAGTTCTAGTCTATCAAACTGTTCAAAGGTGACTATATTATTTTTCAGCCAACTATATTTTTTTTCATTGTAACTTATGCTTAATGAGCTAAAATATTCATCATTTAAATATTTAATAATCCTATCTGCCTCAATATTTTTAGGATTATGTACTGGAATACCATCAACATATGCTGGTACAGCTTTGCTATCTTTTATAGTTTTAGAAACACAAGTAGCCATGTGACAAGCTGTTGAAAGTGTTGTTGTGTTGGGTTGTCTAAAACTATAGATTCCATGGAAGTCATCTATATTGAAAGGAATTAATTTTTCTATATTTTCTTCAAAATAATTATTAATTTTTTCGTTATGTTTACTAAAAATAACCTTTTTATATCTTTCTAATGTTTTATAACATACTGAAATTCCTAGCCTTGACATTATATCAATACATTCTACTGTTGCACCGGATGCTGATAAGTAAAGTCCTATTTCTAATTGAAGTGAGTTATTTCGTTGATTTTTTAATCCAGCTAATAAATAACAGAAACCTACAAGAGATTTTTTAACATTTTCTATAACATTTTCAGACCTATTATGTGTTTGGGATGTCAAGAAAATATAAATCAATTCATCAAAGAATCCTTTTAATTTTGGCTCATTCTCTTCTATCATATTTTTGAAATCTTCTGGATCTAATTCAATATTTAAATTTAAGTTTCTTTGTCTTTTATACAAAAGAGCAGATAGCAATCCAAATTTATTACGAAATTGATTATTATTTTCATATTCATTAACTTTTATCTGCATCTCTTTTATTTTAGTTATTAGGCAATTAAAATGACTTTTAGATAACAATACCAC